CTACCACTGAGCCACACCCCAGCCTCTCACTGGGGGATTCTAGGCAGTTGCTCTACCACTGAGCCACACCCCAGATCTTTTTTTATTATTATTATTATGTGTGATTTTTATTATTATTATGTGAGAAGTGCACGTCACAATGTCATGTAGAGGTCAGAGAACAATTTTATGGAGTTGGTTTTTCCTCCCACCTTTATGTGGGTACTGGGGGTTGAATTCAGGCTGCCAGGCTTTCATGGAAAGCACTTTTATGCAGTGAGCCGTCTTGACAGCTCAGTCCTTTAGTGTTTTTTGAGACAAGGTCTCCTGTAGCCCAGCCTGCTAATGTACAAGCTGACCTTCACTTCCAAATCGTCTTGTCTCAGCTTCCCCAGTGCTGGGCTCACAGGTGTGCACCGCCACACCTGCCTGTCTCTTACAAGCTTCAAGGATTTGATTGAGGACTACGTGCTCCAGTGGGACTGCATTTTAATGTGTTCACACCTACTGAGCCCGCCCCGCTCTCTAGACCTGGCTGGCCTCGATCCACCTGCCTCTGCCTCCCGAGTGCTGGGATTAAAGTCGCGCAGTACTACTTTTTAAAAATAAGCTCACGCCCCAAGCTCCTCAAGGACTCAGCAGCAGATGTGAGTCTTAGGGTACCCCATTCAATCCAGCACAGCTGTCTATTGAGTCAAGAGGTCCTGTCCCAGGTTGGTCCTTGATTTCCAAGTGGGACATTCCTGGCTTGTAACTGCCTGACCTCACCCCGTTTGGTGCCTAGAGGCTCCTGGGCTGGTCCCAGGGTCAGGAGAAGATTGGAAACGCTGAAAGCTCTGCTGAGAGCCTCTGCAGAGTAGGCTGAGCAGAGCTTGGAGCGACGCCGCACGTTGCCTGGGCTCTGCGTACCTGCATGCGTGTTGCCTACGGGAATGCAGGGAGAACCCGAAGCCCAGTCAAGGGCTGGTGCCTGGCCGGGCTGCGCAGCTGGGCGAGTGCAGACCAGCCCGGGCCCTCCAGCGCGCCTCAGCTCGGCACCCCATGCATGGCATATTTTGGGGACATTTTAATCCCAATGGACACCGGATTTAATAGCGTAAAACAGCTACCAAATGCACATATGTGCCACAGCAGATGCCATGGGCCATCTGGCCCGAGGTTGACTGTCGTCCACTCACTGGGGTCAGTCTGGCAACTAGCATCTTGGCTGGGGGAGTGACTCCTGGATTCACCCACAGCTGATGCCTGCTCTTTTCCCCACAGGTCCTCCCCAGCCACTTCCTCTGTCTCAGGCACCCTTCCCAAGAACGAAGTGCCTCCAAACGCCCCCTCAGCCAAGCTGCCACATTCAGCCACCCCCCAGGCCCTCGGCTCCACTTCAAAGATGGAGACTACGGCCCCTCCGAGTGTGGGCAATTCTCCATGGGCATCTGTCTCACTCCAAGCCGGCAAAAAGAGCCAGGGTATAGCTCCAGGGGTTCCCAGGACTGATGCTGGCTCAAGGTCACAAGCAGAGGTGGCAGCAGTAAAGGGTAAGAGTCCCTTTCATGGGCCTCGGGGGTGGGGCTGGAGAGGTGTGGGTCCCAGGCTCTGCCATTCTGCAGTGTCGCTGTGTCTGGGCCCCTTTCTCTCTGAAGGGTGTTCCAGGTGCCTGCAGTTCCGTGGCTCAGCTGTCAGCATCCCGAATCCTCTGGGTCTTTCTCCGCTGCCCCAGGAGGCTGTGTGGCTTGTATGCTCAGGGTCATACCAGAACCATTGCCCCAGATTCATATCTAAGCCCAGACCGCTGTGCTTTCTGTCCTGAGCCGTGTCCCCGGGGTGCAGAAGGAGGCCCTGTCCACCTTCACAGTGTCCCTGTCTAGGACTGGGGTCCTGTTGCACCTCCCCTCCCCCAATAGTTCTTTCCAGACCCTGGGTCTGCATGCCCCTGCCTTTTCTGTGGTGTTTGGGGTAGTAGGGCTCACAATGCACCATAAAGGTCTCTCTTTGCAACTTTGCGTCTGACTGAGTTTCCTGCTGGACCCACTGTTAGGTGTGAGCTAAGGATGACTATGGAGAAGTAGCCAGGCCCTGTCATTCCTCAGCACACCACGGGAGTCGGTCCACAGGGCTTCCCTTCCGTGTTAACACCCATTTGACAGTTCAGTTGAAGCCCAGAGAGGGGCAGCGATTCCCTCGGGAGGGCACGACACACCACCAGCATGGCTACAGCCCTGCTCTCCTGTGTGCTGGACTGGCTCTGAAGAGACTTCTCAACTTGTCTCACCCACCCTCAGGTCCAGGCTCCACCTCTCAGGGAGGCCAGGAGGAGGGGCCGGAAGCATGGAGGGCTCGCCTGAAGCCTGTGGATAAGAGAAGCCCAGCTGGGAGGTGAGGGGGGGCAGGGAGGTAGCGGTGTGGGGGTTACCGGCAGGGCCACACGTGTGCCTGCGGGTATTCAGAGTGATGGGGACACCTCATGCCAGTGGGATGACCTAAGGGATGTAGCAGACACAGGGCAGCCAGGGTGCCATGCTAGGCAGCTCGCACGAGCCTAGCTTGGGGGCGGGGGTCAGTGCATCTGGCTCCTGCAAGCCTGGGGCACCAGCCCCTGCAGGGAGCATGTGGAGGCCACAGTCCCGCTCCCTGGGGGTGGCCACAGGTCAGTCCTGGAATGAGAGGATGAGGCAGGCCTGGCCAGGTGGCTTCCTTCAGACCATGTGGACCTGGGGCCTAGGCATATGGCTTTGAGACTCCAAGCTGTCCTTGCCTGGGCCGGAACTTACTTTATTTTCCATCCAGGGCTCTGGAGCAAAAAGAGCCAAGGACAGGGGACACTCCCAGAAAAGTCTCCAGCAGCTGTGACTCCAGCGTCCACATCACCTTGACTACTATTCAGAGCATGGGGTCACCACGCCCTGCTGGTTCCAGGCCCAGCCTTCCAGGTACCGCTGTGTGTCCTGGTCAAGGTATACACACAAGGGTCAGGCCCAGCTTGAGCAGGTGCTTGCATATGGTGTGGATGTGTGTGCATGTGTGTTCTTGAATGGGCTTAGTGTGCATTCATGTATGCAGGCACAAGATAGGTGTGTGCACATTTATGGTCATGTATGAGACACGTATGTGGGGATGTGTGTACATGCATATTCAGACACAGGATTTACGTATGCACATACTTTTGGATATGGGTGTCAATGTGTTTATGTATGGGATGTATGTGTACGCAGCATGTTCAGGTGTAGTGTGTGTGTGTGCGCACATGTGTGTTCAGGCATGGAATGTACATCTGTGAGACACGGTCTGTATATGTGAACCTGTGTATTCATGCATGGGATGCATGTACATGAGGCATGTTCAGGCATAGTCTGAACACCTGCACATGTATGTGTCAGGCACAGATGCATGTATGCACATGCGTGTTTAGGTGTGCCTGTAAACACGTGTTGGATCATGCTGGCTCTTAACATAGTTGTACCATCTGTAGGCCACTCCCAGGTCACATCCTGTGATGTCAGCAGCACTGGCCTTGTGGGTCTGTTGGATGCTGTCTCCCTGGGTGGACACAGCCAGCCTGGGCAGGGCACCTTGGGAGGCACATGGCACTATAATACCAGCTGTCCTGGGACAGTTCTGGCTCCTCTGAGTGGCAGGGCCCTGGCCAGCAGGCTCAACACGCCTCCCCTCCCCCCTTTGTGCCAGCAGCCTCCTCTCCTTCTCTGGCACACCGCAAGAAACTAGCTGTTCCTCCCAGTCTTGATGTTTCTGCTGATTGGCTCCAGCCAGAGCCCAAGAAGCAGGAAGGTCAGACCAGGAACTGGAAAGAGGAGGAGAAGGCACCCACCTGGGGGACAGGAGGTCAGTCCCAGAGTGGCCATTCTGTTTGGACTATGCTAAGGCAATGCCTCTGGGCTCACGGCCTAGACTGGAGGGCTAGGCCATGCCCAGGCTCTGTTGGGCTTGGTGTCCTCAGACCCAGGGCCCCAGTCTGTCTGTTTTCCAGAGAAGCCTGCAATCCCAGACAGTAGCCTCGCTGCTCCCGGTGAGGCTGTGACCTCCCCAGTCAGGGTGAGTTCGCTGGGCCTCAGGTGGCGGCTGGGCTTTGGTCCTGTGTTTGTGCTCACTGTCCATCGGCTCCCCCAGCTGCACCCCAGCTACATCCCCCAGGAGGAGCTGCAGAGGCAGCTGCAGGACATTGAGCGTGAGCTGGATGCCCTGGAGCGCAGGGGTGTGGCGCTGGAGAAGAAGCTGCGGGCAGCTGAGGGAGGTGAGCGGCTTGGGGTGTGCCCTGCCCGTGGCGATGCCCCACTGCTGACATTACCCGCTGGTGGTCACGTACTATCAGCTTTCCATGCCCCTAAATGACTGGCCGTACTGCTACTGGCTGTCCACACCCCCGTGGCTGGCCACATCGCACAGCTGGCCGTGCCAATGAGCTGGCCGTATCCTATAGACAGGTCATGTTCCCGTAGGCTGGGCATACCTACACTGGGCAGCCATGGCCACACTGGCTGGCCATCCCTTCGGCTGCAGACTGGCCACGCCCCTCCTGAGTACTTCCGGCTAGCTATTTTTCTGCCCCAGGTCTGAACTTGAGCAGCAGGGTGGGTGCCGGACACTCTGCGGCCTCCCTGCCCTAGCTGGCTGTGTCTCTCCACAGACGCTGCCGAGGATGCCCTCATGGTGGACTGGTTCCGGCTTATTCACGAGAAGCAGCTGCTGCTGCGGCTCGAATCGGAACTCATGTATAAGTGAGAGCCCTGAACCTTGCGGCGCCTTGAGGTGCCCTGCGGGGACCGGCCAGTGGCTGTAGCTGGGGACAGCTCGGTCAGGTTGAGTCTCAGACCTGTGTGTCCCACAGGTCCAAGGACCAGCGCCTGGAGGAACAGCAGCTGGACCTCCAGGGCGAGCTTCGCAGGCTGATGGAGAAGCCGGGTGCGCATCTGTCCCCGGGAAGCCTGGCCTGAGAGCCGTAGACCCATGTGCCAACCTCCCCATTTGCCCTGCCCTGACCCGTGAGATGGCTGTGGCTAAGCCACGAGGCTTATGGCTTTTGTTCCTATGCCTCTGGCTGTGTGACCTCTGACAAGTGCCTTGGCTGTTCTGTGCCTGAGTTTGTGGCTCTGCAGAGTAAGGGCCTCGCAGCGTGTTCCCCCTGCTTCTGCCTCCTAGTGTGAGGTTTAAGGGGATGGCAAGGGGGAGGGGACACTTTAAGTGATGAACACAGCCTGCCTGCCACATCCTGGCCACAGGGCTCCGCCTCAGCCATAGGAGAGACAGACCCGTGGCCCCATGGCCCCACACTCGGGCTGTATGGCCCATTCCTCGGTCTGGCTCACTCTGTAAGTTCCTCCATCAAGCGCTCCCATCCGGCGGAGATGTTGACCCAGGCAGGGGGGTTATTCTGTCCCTGAATAGAATGGAGCTCCTGCTTATAGCAGGCTGTCTCCACAGAGGATCTGAAATCTCCTCGGGACCGCCAGCGGGAGCAGGAGCTGCTGAATCAGTACGTGAACACCGTGAATGACCGCAGCGACATCGTTGACTTCCTGGATGAGGACCGGCTCCGGTGAGGGACGGGCCCCCAGCTGGCAGCGGAACCCAGGCTGCACTGCACAAGAGGACTCAGGGTGGGGGAGGCTAGTCCTCCCACGGGGCTCCTTCCCACAGCACTGCCCAGTACAGCTCAGGAAGGAAACGGCCTGTCTCTCCCCCAGAGTGGCCTGTGAAGCTGAACAGCTGAGCCTGGAATGTCTTTTTCAAAAAAACCTTTTATTTACTATTTTTATATGTGTGCCTGTGTTCCTGCGAGAATATATGTGCAGCACATCTGTACAAGAGCCCAGAAGAGGGCATCAAGTCCCTGGAACTATAGTTATAGGTGGTTGTGAGCTGCCATGTTGGTGCTGGGAACTGAGTCAGGGTCCTCTGCAAGAGGAGTTAAGCGCTCTTTAACTGCCGAGCCATCCCTTAGCCCCTAAAACTTCATTTCCATGTAGGCCGTCTTCCTGAAGAGTAAGGACAGTGGCTGGCCAGAGTGTTCTCAAGCAGCCCAGCCCTGTAGCTCTCCCTCTTAGATGGCCTATGGGCCTGTGTCCTCTTCTGCTGGGCATTTCCTTCTCTGTGCACAAACTGCTCTATAATGGTGGTTGTGGTAACAAATAATATAGTGTGTGTGACATATTATCTTGCATGTGTTGCTAGAATTAAACTTAGCCTTATGAATATTAAGCTCTGCCATTGCACCCCCATCCTCTTACTGGGGGATTCTAGGCAGGAGCTCTACCACTGAGCCACACCCCAGCCCCTCACTGGGGGATTCTAGGCAGGGGCTCTACCACTGAGCCACACCCCAGCCCCTCACTGGGGGATTCTAGT